TTTATGTCTAACAAGTTCATAGTATTACTGACATCAGCAACTTCTTATTGTATGTACAATAATAGGTCTTTCACTTACACCAAATATACAAATATAGGCTGCCATATACCGTGTACAGCTTCCAACCTGCAATTTTCATCCCCTCCAAACAATGTCTGAAAATGAGCAGGAATGTTTGAAACGTTGAAACACTATGTTCGAGCGATCTGAATCAATTTTCAAAATCTACCACTACCTAAACGACGGAAGTATTGAACTCGAGATAATATTCTAACTTCGGTTCACAAGTTTTCTCTAGCTCAAAGATATTTACATCACATAAGTCCGTGCTTCTAACATGTATGTCGGATTGTGAGTCCGTGTCTGTTATATATCAATGCGTCATAAGTACTGAGTCAATCGACCTGACGAAATATTCAGAGGACCATCACAGACTAAGTAACACAACTTAAAGGTTGGTAGATTTAAGAATCATAAAATTCAAAAAAATGTATGTGAAGATATACTCGTAAAAACATTTAAGTCATCATTCACAAAAGCATCGCAGGCTAAAGTGGTACGTATCCCTAATATCCAAATATTTCTAAAAGATACAAGTATACTAAGTGACATATAAATCCGAACACCCAGTTTAAATGGTTTTATTTTAATAAAATTTTGTATAAGTACTTAATGAAGCATAATAAGTAAATGATAAAAATTTCAAAATGATTGCACTGCTTTAAAGCCCATTGACCTTTAATAATGTGTGGATTCACCCTGATGTGCTACGCATTCTCCAACGCGCCTAGGCATGCTTCTGAATCAGGTGGTCAATGTCCTCTGTGGTATCTCATTCCCGGCAACTACCAACTCCTCTCCAAGTGCTTCTAGAGTCTGAGGAGGACGTTGCAAATTGAGCAATCTCCTACCCATCATATCCCACACGTGCTCAATTGGGGATAAGTCGCGAGATCTTGGTGGCCATGGTAACAATGTGATATCATTATGTTGAAAGAAGTCTATTGTGACTCTTGCAACATGTGGTTGGGCATTATCTTGTTGGAAAGTTGGATCTGATAGGGTGTCAAGATAGGGTAAAAGATGGGGTTCTAGAACTTCGTGGATATAACACTGCGCGTTCATATTACCTCTGATGAAGATTAAAGGTGACCTGGAACCATAAGCTATAGCACTCCAAACCATAACTCCAACAGTGTGATGAATATGTCTTTCAACATAAAACTGTGGATTCCTCCTTTCACCACGTCGCCTTCTAACCCTGGCACGACCATCGTGCATGCCTAAACAAAATCGAGACTCGTCACTAAAGACAATACTGTTCCATTCCTGATCCCAGAGTGACCGTTGTCTGTACCACTCAAGGCGATTACGTCGGTGTTCTCGAGTTAAAGGGAGGACCCAGTGTGGCCGGTATGAAAACAACCCAAAACTTCTCATTCGTCGGTAAACACTTCGCATGCCAATAGGTCTTCCGTGTTCTGCAAACCATTAATTTGCAATGGACCTGGTAGTGGAGAAACGGTCCCTTAAGGCCAATAATCTTAGGCGGCGATCTTCACGGTCTGTTGTTCTACGGCGGCGTCCAGTGCCCCTTGCTCTTTGCGTACGGCCTTCTCGAAGCCATGCCTGACAACACCTAACCACAGTGTCTACACTTCTTTGCACTCTAACTGCAATTGCCCGAAAAGAAAGTCCAGCTTCCCGAAGTCCCACTATACGGCCCCTATCAAACTCACCAACTTTTATTAAAATAAAACCATTTAAACTGGGTGTTCGGATTTATATGTCACTTAGTATATATCTCCTGTAGTGGTGTGAGAGTGACGACACCACCACAGACCAGTTGAGTTTGTTCTCAGTTATTTCGAATTGTGAGCACAGTATACATATAACATTTATCATTTAATTTTCCTCTTTTTGTCGGGATCAGAAGCTTCCTAATGATAGAACGTCTTTGACTAATACCACGGACGTAATACTTGACGTAGTAGTAACCTGGTGTGAAAATTTCATCAAAATCCGAGCGGTATTTCAGAAGTTACAGGCTGTTATAAAGATAGCGAACAGACCGACGAAAATGAGGGACATGGTTTTTCGTATTCAAAAACATAATATTCAGTTTCTAAATTTTTCGCGACTACAACACTTCCTCGCCAGTTTTGGCATAGCAAGTACGTCTAGCTGGTTATTCGCTAGATAATTTCTGAACTATAAGTAATGAAGAAGCCTATATGACAAGCTCACGTTGATTACAAAAAATAACAATTCTTTAAAATTAACTAAGACCGAAATAATAAGAAATGATAATTTTCAAGCCGGTTTTCAAGCAATGCTTTTTTAGATTTTTTCAAGGTCTATCGTTTGCGACGTGAAAACGGAGAACTTAAAAGCAAATCTAGGATAATTCAAAAAACCTAAAAAACCTCGTCAGCAAGAGAAAATCGTTTTTTGTAAAAACGTTTTAAGAAAATTTGTTAAGGCTATATTCAAGGGGGGGGGGGGGGGACTTCCTGGCTCAAATTTTTTAATGCTGACATGCTAATGCTGTGAAATCTGAACACCCCCAAAAAAGTGTTTTCTGCAAAAGCCAATGAAATTTGCACCTGCAACCTCTTGTGGCATGTTAAGGGCATCCAACAAACGTCATTACAAAAAAAATCGAATGTGAAAATTTCTCTGACGAATGTGAGGTGTTCACCTTGTCTAACTGGTCTTCAGGTAATTTTTAATTGAGATGTGTTTTTTCAGGTGAACAACAAAATGGAGTACAAAGTCAGGTTCACGACAACTCAAGCCATGTCTCCAATATGCCATTTGATAGTCTACTATGTTAGAGAAGATGGGGAATTTGTAGGCGACGCTATGGATATACAAGTCGAAGGAGTTTTGCAGAACTTTGTAAGAACATCCACAAATCCATCTAACTTGTTAATCTTCTATAGCATAAAAATATTTAGAAGGAGAACTTGTTTTGTATTTTAAATGTTTATCAAGGAAGTTGTTTAGTCAAAATTACCCCAAACACTTCAAAAAATGGCAATCTATTATCAAACACTTGAAAATTTTGACAGCCCGCCTGACTTCGGCCTCCCATCATAATCGTGTCGTACATCCAGAACGGGCCGATACGATCGCTCCTTTGTCGGATTTTATCTCAGTTCTACTAACTTTAGGCGGTGCAAAAATAGGATTAAGAAAGTTTCTTTAAGCTCGTCATCGCAGCCGCGGTACCCTTGGCATATGTGCGGCGGCTTCGGAGTAAAATAATATGCATATGCTATAAAGCTACATCAGAACTAACTTAAATCCAGCATTCTCAGAAAAACTTCGCAAATTGTATCTCTGTCACTTAATAAGTTCTACTCAAGATCGTTAGTATTTACAATCCCTACTGAGCGGGGCGTGGCAAATGCTTGTTCCGAAAATTGTTGTATTCAGTACACAACTTCTTCCCGTTCAAGTGATTGTAGACGCGTTAAGGAATACCTCAGTACCGATTGCCGGGTGGCGTACAAGGCCGGTAACGGGTCTATTTAACATCATTAGTATGCAAAAAGAAGGTGGTAGACAAGGACCAGTCGACCGAGGCGGTACCATACGCCAGCTTTCCCAGGGTGTCTTATAAATGTCGGCAGCAAAGAAACTAATAATGATAGATCCCTCGAGTACTAAGAATTCCGGACGTAAACTCACTCCACTCTCGGAATGTCCGGGTGGAGGGTGGACTCGAGGGAACAACATCGAAGATAAAATTTGTTTCACGAACATCTGCGGGATCAACCGTTACCACCGAGAGTGCAAGGCCAAACAACTGGGCACTGAAAAGCCTGTGACGTCACGCACAGTAGGCCAATGCATGTTCTTATGGAGTTTCGCGATGCCTGGCTGGCAAGAGAACCGCGCCACCATTTCTCTGGGGTGTTCTCATATCTAGGTTTGATATAGCAGTATCGAAATCTCTACTAATTAGTTGTACCTCTCTTGGGGCGAATTTGCAAGATGTACTCGGGGCCTGCGCAGCTTCAGTGATGATGTGATTATTCTTTCTGATCTGCCTCAGTATGTCAAGAATACATTTTCGATATTACGTTCATTCTGTCACTTGTAAAGTCTAATATTCCATTCAAAATTGGTAACACCGCTAGCATCCAACAGCTGTCCAACAGCCAAATAACCTCACATTCTATGCTATGTAAAATGAAAATTATTGAGGTTTTAAACTTATATTTGTGTCTCACGATTGATTAGGTAAATTTTCAAAATGCTTTACAAGTGCTGCGTTCCTAATTGTGTCGGTAATTACGGGAAGGGTCCGAAGGTACACGTATTTTCGTTTCCATTGAATGAAAACTGTCGTAAAAGATGGCTCAATGCAATCCCTCGTAGTGATGGTTACAAAAAACACCCGAGTATGCAATTTGCACTTTGCTGAGGACAGCATCATTTGGGAATCCACCTTCCATGACGAAAAGACAGGTAGGACCATTACTGTACCCCGTAAGTATCCAAAATTAAAGGCAGATGTAATTCCAAGTATCTTTGCAAATTGTCCAAAGTACCTTTTAAAGGGCATATCAAGCGGAAGAAGCCGAGATGAGAAATTGAGGGACAAGGATCAAGAACAATTACTTAAAGCACTGCAAAGTAGCATTGATGATTATTCCTCCTATCAAAAATCAACTTGTTTTCAAAATTATTCAGACTTCTCACAGTTTTCTGCACTACATCATACAGTATATGGCTTATTGCAATTAGTAACGTACTGTAAATCTGAACTGCACAGTAATTAAATATTGTTAGGTAAATTTCAAACTGACTCATTGGAAAATAGATTTGGTAAGTATCGTCAACTGGCAGGGGGTCAATATAATATATCAATTCGTCAGTTATATGAATCTGAGAAAAAGTTACGAACTCAAAGCCTGATGTCATTGAAGTCTCGCTATGGTGATATACAAATAGATAAATTCTGTGAAAATGATGATTTAGAAATAGATGAAATTCCACACAATTTTAATGATTACCCCTTTTCCGGGAAATTGAAATTTTACAGTCTCATATTGATAGTATAAAGGAGGAAATCCCTGTCATCACCTACTTAGCTGGTTACTGATCTTATGCCTTATTAAAGAAAAATCACTGCGATCATTGTAAGGAAAATTTGACACACACAGATGATATTGATATAGAAGACAAGCACAATATTATACAGAATTTGAGTAGATGTGGCTTAAAATTCCCAAAGGATCCTGTTATTAATATGGTCATGCTAAGTTATATAATTTTCAATAAAGTTTTGGAAAGTGACGAGGAATCATTTTTAGAAATCACTGATAGGAGACGCGCTTAACAATCTGAGAGATAATAATCACGACATTTCATTTTAGCGTTGCACAGTCCATTCACCAGATTATGTTATAAAACTAATTGTTATTTGCACAGTCAATACATTTTTGAAAAATTATTGTGCCAAAAGGAACGACAGCTTTGCAAGCGCGAATAAAGCAAAGAAACGTAAATTGAATGCAGTCAATTTACATAGCTGTAGATAAATGTTTATTTGTACATATGCAGAATTTAGCACTTTAATTTTCGTTATTCTGATTTTTGTTATTTTTGATACTTGTTTTCTGTTTTCTAATTTTTGTTATTATTTTGTGCTGTTATTTGTTTGTTCTAAGAGTTTTTATTAAGTGTTCGTTAATCTTTGTTATGTTTTTTCTGTTGTTTATTTTACTTTGATTTTATCTGTTTTTCTTATCATTTATCCTACATTTTTTCCTCATCTTCCTTACTCCTTTCCTGGCAAGAGCTTACCTCAGACCTCCTGGTTGGTTATTGCTGGACACAACTGTTCTACAAGCACTACATTTTTTATATAATTTTCAAGTACCATGCCTATAATAATAGTAAATTGTCCACATATTCATGTGAAATTTTGTTGTTGTAACTAAGATTTCATTGAAGAATTTATCATTTTTAGCAAGCTTTTATAACATCAACTTATTAATAATATGTGCACCTAATGTTGGATGAAATATCAGTGAAAATCAGGGTGAAAATAGTTAATAACTACTTTAATATTTTCCACCAAGTTGCCTTCATATACCAAAAACACTTTTCTGAATTATCCGTTATTTACATCAGGTAGAGTATATTAAATATGCTGTAATAATATATTATTTACCAGCGCTGATGTACCTGCCTACTCGTGGTGACGTCACGCGTCTGTCGTCAGGCCTTGTACTCTCGGTGGTAACGGATCAACAGCAACATTGACACTATCTACAATCCAATCGTCCCGTCATGCGGAGATGAAAATCTCAGAGTCTGCACCGATTAATGATCTTAGCTTCCCAAATTACGAGGTGCACTCCAATCTGAGAAAGAACGGGGGAGTTGTGGCTTTTGTCAGCAGCAGACTGTTCTGCTCCAGTGACGTTTCTTTGGAATCAGACCGGAAGGACCTTCTGTGGCTTCGCCTCAACTCAAAAACATCCACAAGATTTATCGCTCTCTCTCGGACCATAACAGAGATAGTTCTTCTCGGTGATTTCACAACCCATAATAAGCTTTGGTTGGGCTCAAACAGGACCGATGCAGCAGGTCGTCGTTCGCTCCTACTCAAGGGCTAACCCAGCTGGTGACGAGCCCCACTTTTTTCCCCTTGTCTCGTCACATGCCAGTAGCCTGCTGGATCTCTTTCTGACCGCTGATCCTGCCCCTTACAGCACTGCTGTCCTGTCTCCCCTGTGTAACTCAGACCACGGTGCTGTGGCTGTTAGGTTTCGGTCAGAACCCGCTGTGGCAGCAGAACCTCGCCCAGGCCTCAAAATTTGGCAGTACGGACATGCCGACTGGGAGGGGTTCAGAAACTTCTTCTCCACCTTTCCTGGGAGAGATGTTTGGCTGACGCGGATGCGTCGGCTGCCTGTCCTTCGATAACAAAAACTATCCACGTCAGGATGGAGGAATGCATCTCTTATACAGTGAAAGTTCACACAGTTCAAAAACGGATTAACAAAATTAGTGGTGTCCTGGCATTTAGGCTTCTGCCTGCGTGGCTGATTCGGTATAAAAGTATAGAAGATATCTGCATGAAAATAATTTGTACGCTTAAACATAAACAAAACCATAGCTCCCTCGACTCGTTTGCTGTAAAAATACGTGAAATTTCCAAAAATCGAATGAGGCTTGGTCTACATTAAAGCAACGAAATATTAATAATAACTTTTTTCACAGGTCGATCTCCAGCTAAACACAGTCGAAAGTGAACCAAACCTCGACGTAGAGATGATTGTGAGAGCTCAACAGAACTCTTACATAGGACTCTTAGCTGTTGATGAAGGAGTGAAAATGTTGAGAGACGGATATGATGTTGATATGAAATACATTGTTGACGAATTGAAGAAATATGATTTGGCTACGGGCACTCCGTATCCTCAATATCTGATGAATACCAAGAAGCAGTTCATATGGAAACCTGGAAATAGTAATCCATACTCATCTATTAAGGTATCCACAAAAAGTTCGTCATCGGTTTAAGTAGACTCAGAATACAATATAAAGACAACATCGATCTGTTTACGAGAAATATCAAGTGAACTATCAAAGGCGTACAAGTTTATGGAATATGTTTTACTATTTTTAATGTACTGATCTTCCCTTTAATTTTACCAACAACACTTTGTAACACACTGTATTTTGAATAGAACCTGATACTTTTATGATTTATAGGAATCAGGTGCCAATCTCTTAACCAACGCTGAAATCGACAGGAACGAACCAACTCGTAAGTATTTTAAATCAGATAAGAAACTGACTTACCAGTAAATCTGAAACACGAATTGATCTTTTTTTCAGTGGAGGACATCTACCTTAGGCCAGTCTTTTACGGATCGTCAACCTTAAAACCTGACCGCGGTTACGCGATTGCCGCAGTTCCTGCGACCAGGCCTCCTCTGGCTGGTCCTTACGCCTTCAGTAGGATCCCTAAACCTGTGTGGAATAAGCCTAAAGTGTATTTGTTTCAAGACGTTGCCCCGACCTGGCTGTTTAGAAATTTTTCTTCCGGATATGAAGGAAAACATTCGGTCAGGTAATACTAATTTGAAAACTTTCAAAATCTACTAGCAATTCCATAAAATTTCCTTTTCCCTTAAAGTTCCCATTTTCAACGTTTTCAGGATTTGATCCTTTGGAATTTCTAAAAAAATTCGAAATTATTCTCAATACAGTAACGGTTTTAAGATGTGCAATGAACGTTTCAACACCACGGTACAAGTTGTCGAGATTTTTTGAAATTTTTTCATGTGAATCTAAAAAATTTTCAAAATTTATAAAATAGACAGTATTTACAAAAATTACAAAATTTACAAAATTTACAAAATTTACAAAATTTACAAAATTTACAAAATTTACAAAATTTACAAAATTTACAAAATTTACAAAATTTACAAAATTTACAAAATTTACAAAATTTACAAAATTTACAAAATTTACAAAATTTACAAAATTTACAAAATTTACAAAATTTACAAAATTTACAAAATTTACAAAATTTACAAAATTTACAAAATTTACAAAATTTACAAAATTTACAAAATTTACAAAATTCACAAAAGTTACAAAATTACGAAGTTACGAAATTTACGAAATTTACAAAATTTACGAAATTTACGACATTTACGAAATTTCCAAAATTTACAAAATGTCCAATATTTCCAGAATTTACAAAATTTCCAGATTTTTTAAATTAAATGAGTTTTAAAGTTAGTTGGATATTACTCCATTCTAGGGCAAGACTACCAGGGACACTGAGCACATGGTCCATAACTGGTTTTTCCTTGGATCCTGTCCACGGTTTGGGCATAACAACGTCACCAAAGAAAATCCATGTGTCCAAGCCATTCATGGTCACATTGGACCTGCCATACTCCGTACAAGTTGGTGAAATCCTAGCAGCCTCGGTTGTGGTTCACAATAACATGAACCAAGACGTTAACGTTGAGGTCACCTTGCACAATCCTGAGAACAAACTGGAGTTTGCTGAGGTTTCTAATGAAATTAACGCTACGAGAAGTAAGTATGGAAATACTGAAATTAATTTTGCGCCTCATAGATCCAGCTCTGTTTTTCCGATATCCCAACGAACTTTGCTCTCATTGATTAACGTATCGCTCAAGAAGATGCTGTAATTAGACGTTCACATACAATTCACATCGTTACAGCCACGTTGCCCAGTAGAATCGCAATAATTTCCACAGGATTATTAAAAACAGACTCATGTTACCTCCCTCATCAGCCCATGTAATTATTCCTGAGATTTTGAATTCTCAGAATTCTTTTGATTTTTAGAAGTCGAATTATACAGAAGAAAAAGATTGACTGTTCTAAAAAACTCCAAGGCGCCTGTGTCTTTCATGATTATGCCTACCAAAATAGGCCCCATAGAAGTGAAAGTTACAGCCAATAGTCCGAGAAATCAAGATGTTGTAATGAAAGATTTGCTTGTAGTGGTGAGTAATGCAGTTGGTTGACGTATTCATATAATTAGTATAATAAGAAATATAACTAAAGCATCTAAACGAATAACATTAATATAACCGTATTAGTCTAATTTTTATCGTTATAAACTGGAGAGCATAACTATAGCACCACCAACCAATGAAACCAAAACTGAAATTTTGGCCCAATTTGAGGTAAGATAGTAGTGTATCTCAAAAAAAAGCAATCTCAGTCTTTATCAATAATTATTAATAATAATAGCAATTTATTATTACGAAAAAAATCGATATAATATCATCATCAATATTTGGAGTTTAGACCGTCTCATAGGTGAGTTTAATTCCTACTTATGTAAGGTGATTGATGACAAAGTCCTCGATATGTCTTAAGGGGGACTTGTGGAGTGGTTTACAAAGGTAGGGGCTTAAGATTAGCCTACTACGCCTGAATAGGCATGAAGATTGTACCTCGAAAGCCTCGACAGTAGTCGTAACCATAACGTATTCCAACAACATAACACATCAATACGTATTAATAGGGGCGTAGAGTAAAATATTGAATTTTGTTCACTATACATGAATCCATTCGGAAATCTGAGGAATTTCAGTTTAATGGGTGTCTGGGCAGTTCCATCCGAAAAAGACTATGTATACAAAATATCATAGCATTTGTGAAAAGTTCTTTCTTCTATCCTTACAGGTGGGAGGCGAAACAGAATACTACACAAAATCCGTCCTGCTAGACCTACGAGGCCAACAAAACCTGAAACGCTCTATCAACTTCACCATACCGAAAGCCATAGTACCAAACTCCGAATTTGTCGAGGTATCAGTGGTTGGAAGTTTCCTAGCTCCCGCTATGATACACCTAGATAACCTGATCAGGTTACCAACAGGCTGCGGCGAACAAACCTTGGCGCACTTCATGACCAACCTCATCATTCTGCAGTACCTGAGGTCTACTAAGCAGCTGCCGACCAAAGTAGAAAGAGATGCTGTGGGGCATTTGGAGACCTCGTACCAGAAGCAACTGCCTTTCAGAAGGGAAGATGGGTCGTTCAGTCCTTTTGCTTCGAGAGATGAAAATGGTAGCATTTGGTAAGATCTAAAAGTTCTTGTATATCTGCCAATCCATTGCTAAAGGCATCAAAAGTATCATTTTTCAATTCCAAGAAGTATGATAGTTTCCAGAACTTTATCATTGTCCGATATCCATGTTAGTAATCACCGCCCTAAGTTACCCCAATGGGTGTCGAAAAGAGAAATTTTGTTTTGAGAAGCATTAAAGACATTAAAAAATTCTTTCACATTTGCGATCTCTACCAACATCTGTTTTTGGGTAAATAGGGCTTACAGACCTCGAATCTGTGTGTTCTTAAAAGTGTTTGAGAAGGCTGCTTATGCTTCAGAAACGAAATATTTTGTTCGTTTGTTTAAGATTTATTTAGCATGATTGCTACAATTACATTCTTCTAAAAAAACTAAACAATTACATAACATACAGATATTTAGAAAAAAACAAAATTTGTATCTCTAAGAATTTTCACTGTCCATGAAATATTTATTAAATTCAAGTAATCCTTTCTGAAATATTGATTTGCTACATTACTATTGTAATTTTGTAAATGAAAATCTATATTTCCTCTTGTATAATAATTATTCAATTCTATGTAGTGTTCTAAATATTGTGGCCAAATATGATTTTTTATTTTAAATATAAAAATAAGCACCAAATATGACATAAAATTTTTTATATTCAACCACTGCAATTCTTGTAACAGATTTTATTTTGCAGGACTTGTAATTTTAAGAATAAGCTCCATTGGCAGATAATTGAACAATATAGTAAATGTGGTAGAATAATTGTATTATGAACTATTTTCTTGGAATATGTACCAAGACTATAAGGAAGCGATATACAAGTAATTTGTTTTTTTTGCAATTTTTGTAATAATTTATTCATAGTGATTCTCAAACTTTAGTTATATAATATATAATACGTTGGGTGTTCCACAGGGCAGTATCGTGGGACCACGTCTTTTCATTTTATACATAAATGATTTACCTGCCATAGTCAAAAAATGCAAAATTCAGATTTTCGCCGATGACACTATGATTTATATAAGTACTAAAAATATTCAGACTGGTATCTCTTATATAAATGAAGACTTGAAACTTGTCTCAAAATGGTTGGCATCTAACAGACTAAAATTAAATACAAGTAAAACGAAAGCCTTGTTAATCGGAAAAAAAACAATGTACAAATGTTCAACTGAATATTGATGGTGAAGATATTGAATTCGTAGAAAATTTTAAATACCTGGGTTTTTTTTTGACTCTCGATTTATTTTTGATATTCATTATGAAAAAGTTATAAATAAGATTAGTAGTAAAGTGGGATATTTATCGAGAGTTTCTGGATGTCTGAGTTCATATAGCAGAAAAATTATCTATAATACCATCATTCTTCCAAATTTCTTGTACTGATCGACTATTCTGTATTTAGCAAATAATTCCATTTGTGAAAGACTGCAAATTTTACAAAATAAGTGCATGGGAATAATACTAAATAAAGATAAATATACTCCAATTAGGCAAATGCTTAGCAAATTAAAATGGCTCAATGTAAAAAATTTTATATCTTGTAATGATATTCATTTATAAAGTAAAAAATAATATATTTCCATCAAGTCTAACTAATTTAATATCCAGAATAATACCAGAAATAAAGATGACTTCCATTTAATGACCAAAAAGTATAACATATGCTACAAATCTGTATTCCATCAAGTGTTGATTGAATATAATAAATTATACTCAGAGATAAAAGACCAGGAAACTTTGACAAAATTTAAAGCAAAATTGAGAAATTACTTGTTAAATCTACAATTATAGGTTGCCCAGCATTTACATCATACATCATATGGCTTGAATTTACTAGTTCTAAGTTGTTCACAATTATTCTGTTTATGAAGCCAAATGTGCTAAATAAATCTTTCTACTATCAATATATACAACTAAATATTTAATTGATTCAACTTAACTAAAAGCGATCCTAAAGCTACATGCATGCCGTTAATCAAACATGAATTCTTATTTTTTTAAATAAATTTGGGTGCGAAACGTTGAATATGTTTAGATATCAGACAAAAACAAGATTAAAATAACAATTTAATTTTAATAAATAAACCATACTGCACCTCGTGTAAGTTATAAAATAAATTTACTTAAGATCGACATATGTTTTTGTTGTATTTGTGTTAGTCTTTAGACAATTGTGCATATTTATGTATACAGGGTGTTTTCAAATTTGAGTCATTAATTTTAACAGCTTGTAGAACTCGTCAAAAGAAGTTGATATACCAAAAATCACCTATATAAAAATTAATAAGAGAATTAGTTTACATTATTAAAAATCATTTAAAAAAAAATCATTATCAAGTTTAAATGAATACGGTCTTACAAAAGCTGTTCAAAATTGTCCCCATTTGTTCGATTAACGCAAAATATTGCTCGGTGAATTCATGACTCCTTAAATGTTTCGAAAATAAATTCCTGATGTCCACGAATTAAATCACAAGCATTTTCAGTGCGCTGTTAAAGTTCTTCCCGAATATTTACTGCTCCATCATGATACACGAACTCTTTCAAATACCCCCACGGAAAAAAATCGCAAGGCGTCAAGTCCGGGGAGCGAGCAGGCCAAGAAATGCATCTATTCGGAAAGTCATTATTTAGATATCATTCTAAAATGTGGCGAGCCATATCATGTAGGAACACATATTCTGTCTCACATTTAGAGGAACATCTAATAATTGTAGCAAATTGTGTAGAAGAAAATCTAAATAAATTTTGTTGACACTCTCCGTATGTTAGTATTATGTCCACTAGTTCATTTGGGCCATTTTTTCGAACAAAATAGTCAGACTATACGAGATACACTATTAAAAGAGTGTTACAACTGAACCAAAGACACGTACTGAAAACGATACAATAACACAAAAGGTTTGCCAAATTTAGATAAACGATAAGAGTAGTAATCAAAAAGCGCTAAGATTTTACACGGCAGTGGTCGAGAATATCAAAAAATCTGTGTTATAACATTCTTATTATTTAACATTGTTAATCTTTTACTATTTCTTTTATTATGCAACTTTTATACAGGTGTAAGCAGTTAAAATAAATGACTCAGCTTTGAAAACTAAATACAACAACAAAAGCGTCCTAGCGCTCATCTGGTTTTGATGGGTGGCCGTGTTCTGCCAAACACGTCTCGTCAATAGCGTCAGATGTTAGGAAAAAGATAGGCTATTTGTTTAGGGCTAAGAATTACTGTTTTCCACATGACCGCCTCACTCTACAGGGTGTCCGCAAAGTTGGGGTTTTCCTTTACACGACGTGTAGATCTTGAAAACATAAGCAATTTTTCTTAGTACCATATACACCAATGTCTTAAGGGAACCGAGATAAAGGGCTCTGCAACATCAAAAATATCTGAATACCGTCCTGTAGCCGCGACATCACGGAGTGGTACAATGTCACTCGCTCAACCCGACGACAGAACTGGGTCGGGGTCAGTGTGTCATGTCAGTATGCAACCTTCAACCGACGGTTACGGTCACGCCTGTAGAGATAATCGCGTAGACGAGAATTCCTCAACAAGCACTAGAGACGTGGCTAGAGAAGTGCAAGTATCAAAAACTAAAGTGTGGCAAACGCTGCGTGAAGAGGGGCTGTATCAGTTTCACGTCCAATGTGTACAAGCCCTTCAACCTGACGATTTTCCAGCAAGAGTGCGGTTTTGTGAGTGGTTCTTGCATCAACATGACAATAATCCGGACTTTTTGAAGTGCATATTGGTGACAGACGAATCTACATTCACGCGTAATGGGGTGAATAACTTTCGCAACACTCATGTTTGGTCAGTAGAAAATCCGCACGCTGTCCGTCGGGCACATTTTCAACAAACATTTTCGGTGAATGTTTGGGCTGGCATGGTGAACGGTATGCTCATTGGACCATTTATTCTCCCAAATCGATTGGACGGGATGCAATACCTAGACTTTTACGCAACATTTTGCCTTCCTTGTTAGAAGATGTGTCATTAAGTGTAAGACAATCAATGTGGTTTCTGCGTCTGCTCGGTAGCGCATCAGCTGATTTCATTTTCTGTTGGAGCGGTATGATTTCGGGCAGAGACGTACTTAGCCCTTCTCGTCAACTGGAGAGTGAGTACTTTTTCCTTTATTTTTTTTTTACTTGGTCGCCCTCGTTTCACTACACATTACCTTTATTATTTCAAGGGTAGTTGTTTCTGAAAAGGAAAACCCCAACTTTGCGGACACCCTGTATACAAGGCCGAGATAAGACCAAGCTTCAAATATTGCTCACATATTTGGGGTGCTGCCGACCGGACTACCTTATTCATGCTCGATGGTGGTTTCGCAGCAGCGGGTCGTCGGCGATGTAAGTCTCTTCTACCGCTACACCAATAGGCTTTGTTCTTCAGAGCTCTCGATGATGCCGCTGCGTGTTGTGTCTGCCAGAAAAACCCGTCTGACTTCCGCCTCCCATCCTAACCGTGTCGAGCGTCTTAAATCCATAACTGGCCGATACGACCGCTCCTTTGTCCCTAGGGTGACGAGATTCTGGAACAATCTACCTGATGCGTTTTTCCCCGTTCTGCTAACCTTAGGCAGTTCAAAAATCGGATTAAAAAAATTTCTTTGGGATCCTCATAGCAGCCGCGGCTCTGATATTTATGCTTCTGCCTGCGCGGCTGATTCGGTGTAAGAAATAGAGCTTCGCGACACTATAATTTTTTTGATGACCATAGTTATGATCAGCGTCCCAAAAAACCCTAGCGCACCGAGTCTTGTTCGCTTGTAAGAACGGCCAACGAAAATGGGAAACGCTTTAAGACAAATTACACAACTTACACATAATTTTTTCCAGGTTGACAGCTTATGTAGTCCAAACATTCAGCCAAGCGAGAGATTTCATCTATATCGACGAAAACGTAACTGACACTGCTCTAAATTGGCTAGTAGCTCATCAAGGTAGAGACGGAAGTTTTTACGAAAGTGGAAATATTCTTCACGAAGAATTGCAAAGCAGAGGAGGATACAGCCTGGCATTGACAGCTTTTGTTAGCATTGCCATGCTAGAAGCGAATCAGGTAAGTTGTAGGATTTTCTGGGATTGTTTGGAGTCGTTAGTAGTAGAAATAGTAGTAGTAGTAGACTCTTTTTAAAGGAGCGTCGCCAGGCCGCAACCTGGAGCGAGTGGGTCTACGAACCGCCTTTGTGCTGGAACCGCCTAGATGGCATAACTTCACGCAAGCGGGCTGTCTTGTCTTCATCTTGTTCTTCAGTTTTCCTCATAGTAATCGTCCGATCGCACCCTACATCTCCCATCCCGGGTCTACCGGATTAGGAGTTCGGGGATGTTTGTGCTCTACCGTCTGCCTTCTTCAGTTTTAGCAATTCCTCCACGAAGGACGAGATCATATGCCAGTGATTCTCGATCTTTGGTGTAATACAACCTTTGATGCTCCAGGACTTAAAAATCGAGCGGTATGGCGCCTGCCACTACCAAAATGGTCCCCTCAGCGACGGTGCGATGCGCTGAGGATATTCGCAAAGCTGCCGTTCTCTGAACTGATACGAGTCTTCTCCTATAGTTTTCGGTGGTCATTATCCTAGCCCAGATTTCCGCTCTAGGGCTATCAACGTTTGGCATAATCCTAGATAGCGCGGTCACAACTTTTGTAGCTTTGTTTGCCACTTCACTGAGATGTTGCTTGTAAGTCAGCTTTTAGTCCAGCAATATTCTCAAGTACTTCACCATTTCATGTGAGATGAGGGTGGCTCCCGGAAGGTTCAGCACCAGGGGTAGGGGATGCAGTCTTTGCCTGGTGAGTACAGTCACTTTGGTCTTGTCTGCAGCCATTTCTAAGCCGTGCTGTTTCATCCAAAAGTGCACCGAGTGCGCTACAAACTCGGTTTCTAGGCGCGCAGTCTCCAGGTTCCTAGCTGTTACCACGGCAGCGATATCGTCAGCGAACCCTACTAGTTGGGCACATTTCGGCAGCTCCATTCTCAGAATCCCATCGTACATCATATTCCACAGGTCCGGCCCAAGTGCAGAACCCTGAGCTACACAGGCAGTGACCTTCTGAACCTGTTGACGTTCTAAGGTTTCGTAGATCAGACTTTTATTGGAAAGGTTAATTACCCGTAGTAGGTATACCGGAATCTTGAAGCGCTGGTCTAGGGCATCCATGATATCGACCCACCTTGCTGAATCGAAGGCGTTTTTCACATCGAAGGTGATCAGAACCCAAATGTTGCGAGTGCGGTGATTTCCTCGCCAGGCCGTATACGCTTCTTGCACCACCTCTTGCAGTGCTCCAGGAGCACTGCTCCTACAGTTGAATGGCACGGTCGGAATTCATGTTAATCGGCGGATAATCCTCTGGCGTCTTCGATTGCATCACGTAGTCTCTATCCCTTAAACATTTTGCCCGCATCGTCTAACATACAAAGTTGTCTAAACGATGACGGTGTTATGGGTGGACCCTTTCCTTTGTCTAGTAGTACTAACCTCTGTACCTTCCATCTTGTTGGAAAGATACCTGCTTGGAGGCAAGCGTTGTACATATTCAGCAGAATAGTCGGGTGTTCGAGCGCTATAGCTTTAATGATCTCTATCGGGACACAGTCGGGGCCCGGAGACTTCCTGACTTCCGCTACGCTAGCGACGGCTCTCAGGTCCTCTTCAGTGAAAAGACCAAAGTGTCCGTGGACTTGAAAATCCTTAATGGGTTTGTCCGGGTGTTCAGGGAACAAAGTGTTCACGATTTCCTTCATCATTTTCAGCTCAAATGGGCCAACAAGTGTCTGCTGTCCAAGTCGACGCATCACTATCTTGTAGCCTAGTCCCCATACGTCCTGGTCTACGTCATTACAGAGGCTTTTCCAACATGCCTTCTTACTTGAACGAATCGCCATTCTCAGTTGTCTTTTAGCTTTCTTGAATTGCTGCTCCAAGACTACATTCCGTTGGTCTCCACTCCTAGCCCTCTGTGCAATGCGTCGTAGCTGCAGAGTTTTTTACGAAGATCTGCAATCCCGTCATTCCGCCAATATACTTGTCTCCTGTAAAATTGCGCAGCAGTTTGTGATCTGTCACATGATGGTTTCCACCAAGGCCTCTGCATTCTGCGTAGATATTTCTCCATTTAGAGTACCAATAATTTTGATATTGGTAAGATGTCTGCCCAGGATATCCTTGTTCAAACGGGAGATATTCCATCCTCAAGACTAGTTCGCGTAGGTTTGTCCTTTCTTCCACCATCTAGCTGGATCCTGGACCTAATGTATTGGTGGTCGCTTCCAGAGTAATCTTCCAGAACTGTCTATTCTGTCAGCGCGCGCTACTGAAGAAGATGCCACAGAAATATCAATGATTGACCCTTTTTGACCACTTCTTCTGAAGGTGGTTGTATTGCCAGAATAGTTAGGTCGAGTCTAGTTGCTAGATCAAAGATCGCTGCCGCTCTCGAACACGTCCAATCCATGCCCCGTGCGGTCGATTTTGCGTTGAAATCGCCAGCTAAGACCACGTTGTTGCCTAAGTTTTGCAAAGTCTCTTCCAATTTATCCAACTTCGCCCGAAATATGTCAACATTTTCATTCGGGGACAAGTAGATGATCACGTAGGTTCTCGTTCTAGTCTTTAACCATACGAATCCGTTTTCAGAGCCATAGTCGGATGACGGGAAGCAGGAGTGGTTCCTAGCCAAAATTGCAGCAGTTCCGCTTTTGTCCGTGTACCAGTTGGAGTATTTTTCATTTTTATATTGCTCAGAAATTATGACCATGTTCCTGCGTCGTTTGTTGAAGCACATTTTGAGCCAATTTGGACCTGTTCAAATTACATTGGAGAATGCAAGCCATGGAGTTGGTAGTTGTTGCGTGGTCCTTCTATTCCCTGTAAGCCAGATGACTTCAAAGAGCCAGGCTTGAAATCCTTGCCTGGTTCACCAGTTTCCTAAACCCAGGACACCTAATTTGGTCTGCTCGATGTCCAGCTGTCTTGCAGGTAGTGCAAAACGAGGTGTTCTTGCACTCTTTCCGTTGATGTTCTGCCTGGCCGCAGTTCCTGCAATCTCCTCTTCTGTCCGATCCAGTACACCTTCCAGCTCTATGGCGAAACTCTAGACAGTTGAAGCAGCGCAAGATCGAAACCCGCTCCTTCACCTGCCAAATTGACCAATTGGTCGCTATACGACCCTTTTGGATAAGCCGTTTCGAAGGTTCCTTATCCATTACCACGGTCGCTGACTGGTTGCCAAACTTCCCAGCTTTCAGTGCTGCTATCCGAAAGTGATGGTTCTCGATGCCAGTTTCGGATATGAGACCTCCTCTACTGTTATCGATGGATCAATGCCAAGTATAAACAGAGTGACGTCTGAATTCCTTGTACGTGCATCTACCTCTTTAACATTCGCCACTATCTCATTTCTCAAGGCCGTTGCCTTGCCTTCCCCTTCTACCATAAGAACCAAGTCACCGTTTTCTTGATATCGACGTTCTCTTTAAGGGTTTTAACCAACTCTGCGATGTAGTAGTACGAGGGATGTCTTTTAAGTTTTGCATATGGAAATAAAGCAACACGGTAGGTAGTTTTAAATGACTTTATTGTTTTTCGAAGTATTCTCCACGAAGATTAATACACATCTGCATGCGCTCGAACCAATTTTCGAAGCACTTATTCCTCTCGTTTGCTGTCAGATCCAAAACGGCATTTTTGAATGCGTCAACTGCTTCTTCTGGTGAGTGGAACCTTTGACCACGCAGTCTGTTTTTAATTTTCGGGAAAGTAAAGAAATCATTAGGACTTAGATCTGGACTATATGGAGGATGGTCCAATAATTCCACGTTTTCTTCCAGACTCTTCTTTCGGGGTTGATTTTTCGAAGCTCGGTGATGACTTTTGGCAAACAAATGGTGGTATACCATTCCGCAGTATCAGTTCTTTGCTCATTAGGAGGAATTGCTGCAATATGACTCGCTTTTGACACAAATGTCGGGACCATCTTTTTCGAAACACTTCGAGAACGGTGGCTTTTCTTCACCTAGGAACACCCAAACAGCCGACTATCGTTTATTTTCTGCTTCATAACAGTAAATCCAAGATTCACCACTAACAATGCTGTACATTTTTTGAGTTTCACCAATTAACCCTGGCTGCTTTCTGCTCTTCAGTCAACAGATCCAACGTGAAACTAATTTTCTTACTCCTAATTCTTCATGCAAACTTTTTTGAATTGAAGTCTTTGAGATCTTCAAGGACGCCTCAATCTCGCGATATATCACATATCTATCTTCAATGATGAGTTTGCGCACAGCATCCACGTTTGAATTCTCCATACCTACGGGAAATTGTCGACTGATGTGGCGCTTCGTTGCCGAAAATAGTAACTCAGCAAGGCATTCATGTTGCGATAATTGTCTCTGAAAGTTGTAATAAATTATGGCGCAAAATTGTTCTCGGTTGAGTTCCATTTTTCTAATGACTTGGTGACACTTAAAAATTCACTGTAGTAAGAACACTGCACGTATTGTTGTGAAACATTGAATTTAAGTTTACTAAAGAGTGAGGTTAAGATTCAGTACTGAATTTCGATCCGCGCGGTTTACTATGTTTCTATATGCAAAACTTAAAAGAGATCCCTCGTAGTAGTGGTATATTTAGCCTAATTCCAAACATAAAGTTCACATGGCATGTCAAAAAAAAGTAGCATAGTTGAAATATACAGAGTGAGTTAACAGTGTTTGATGTACCACACTATAAACGATACATGATAAAAATACAAGTTCAATGTGGCTAGATTATATAGGCAATGAGCTAACTAGTGTTTTTGTTATAGTAGTGGTTAAAGTCAAAGCTAGAGTAATATAGCTACTTGTTAAAACACTATAAAAAACTTGAACTAAAAACATATTGCATACTTATTTGGAAAATTCATAGAGTGAACACATTTCTCACTTAAATACTTAAAAACCTTATTTTTGAAACTGATATAGCTCTCTATATATCGTAAATCTCGAGGTAGAGTATTATACAATCATATGTAGTTGAACTGGGATGACTTTGTAGATGCCATAGCTTTAAGGCCCGTATCGTCAGTCGTCCCTACAATTATAGGGCGCGTTTATGGCCTCCTTGATTGTCATACTCCTTTCTCTCCTTCAGAAATTTCTAGATTACACTTATCCCGTGTCAGCGTCAGCGCTCTCCTATTGTGAAGATATGTTTTCTTTTTAAATTGTAGGAAATTTCAGGCTGATAAAACATGATATAACTCAAAAGCAAGCACAATTTGATGCAAAAAGATATTTGTGACATAACCTCAAAATAGAGCACTGACACGCCCTACAATTGTAGGGACGACTGACGATACGGGCCTAAGACGATCTGGTTTCAAAATGGAGTTTCTGGTCTTATAGTTGTGATGTTCATTTTGTTTGCTTTATTTGTTGATGTTCCGCTTTACATAGTTAACACACTTGTATATGTAAGCACAAGGAACTGTCAAGGATATTTGCAACTTTCGCCAAAGTTAAGGTTGAACAACGATCTAAATATCCGTTTTTGTGATATAAAAAATCTGTTGATACTTGTAGCTCTACCCCAGCTTAGAATGTTATATGATAAATATTGCTGTAAGCGAGGTCATATTATAGTAATAACAGGCTCTTTTAATCTAAAAATACTCTTTCACATGAAATATGGCATAATAGCCTTTATTTGAATTCAGGCATACATTCTCAATTCGGTTGCTGACGGAGAGGTCTGCACCGAACCAGCTACCAAGGAGTTTCACGCTATCCACTAAGTGTAAACCTAGCTTTACGATATTTGAAGCAGATAATTAAATAATGAGAATTAGGAATTTTGATTTTTTGAGAATGACTGATTTCTGATTTTCTTATTTCAGCGAAACAATCCCTTGGTGACAAACTCTGTGAACAAAGGCTTGGACTACATCGCAAGATACATCGACGATTCAGCCTCATCCTATACCCTAGCCCTTTGTAGCTATGCTCTACACTTGTCCAAACATCCCTCCAAACTAAGCGCTTTCAATCTCCTCAACGCGAAGTCCAAGAACAAGAATCACATGAAATGGTGGGCCAAGGAATTTCCTTCTAAGGAAGAGAAGAACCCTTGGATGACACTACCTAGATCTATCGATATCGAGACCACATCCTATGGCCTTTTAACCTATTTGGAAGCTAATCAATTAGAAGACGCAGTGAACATTTTGGACTGGTTGCTGAACCAACAAAATAGTATGGGCGGTTTCACTTCTTCGCATGATACTGTGGTTGGGCTCATGGCGTTGTACAGATTGGTCATAAGATTGGCAACTCCAAGCAATATGCAGGTTGAAGTGGAGTATGGGAAAAGTGGACACGAGCATTTTAGCGTTAATAAGAATAATGATATGATCATGCAAAGTAGACAGGTAAGAAAATAGTAAGTAGTTTACATAACTGGATGGAGGAGTATGACATCGAGTACTTTATATCCTGAAGTGTATGGCGTCGCGAGATATACAGGATGTTGTTTAATGATATGCCGTAATTACAAGGGTACATTCTTGATCCAAATTTAAGTACATACAAAAAATTCTTTAAAAACTTTCAAAATAGGCTCCTACTGCGTCGATGCAGCGCTGCCAGCGCGATTTCCAAGCATTGCATCCCCTCTGTCGTCTCATCGGCCTTTTCAGGCGAGGAAACAAAAAAAAGTCCGGGGGGCACATCTGGGTTTGTCCAGGAGGAACAAATTCAAGGTGGGCGATGCCTTTGATGTCAAAAAAGACAATGAGCATCGTTTTCACTTTGTATTTGCTCATTCTTCCCTTTTTTGGGCGAGGAAACACCGTCGTGTGCCACTCGGAAGATTGCCTCTTTGTATCGGGATCATACTCAAAGATCCACGACTCGTCACCTGTGATTGCGTTATTCAAAAATTGGGGGTCACTTTCACACATGTTCAAATTTTCCTGGCACACTTCCACTCGCCGCAATTTCTGGTCGTCAGTTAGCACTTTTGGGACCATCTTCGCGCACACCTTGCGCATGTTCAAATGCTGTGTCACAATGTCATGAACCACAGATTTTGGTAATTTAACATCTGGGCAATTAAACGAATACTTAGTCGACGGTCTGAGTTCAAAACTTTGCGCACACGAGTCACATTATCGATGTGTAAAACTATTATTAAGGCATCAATCAAAACCATGAAATAAAATGAAAATAAAAATAATCAGTGAAATAACCTAACTTCGCAAAATCATAATAATCAAATCCAAGCGAATAACCAAAATTTCTATGTTATGTACCGCGGTTATAATATGGTTCAAGATGACTCACAGGTTGCTGACGTCAGTTACTCGAATCGCTTGAACGCCTTGGTTTTAACCGCGGTTTTGTCGGAAGTTGTTTATTTTAGAAAAACGCGTATATAATTTCTAATTCTTTTTATTATCACTTAATAATCGGTGCGTTTTCGTCTACAACGGTGTATGGAAAGTGTAAAAAAGAAACCTTTCATAATATTAATGGGAAAATGTTTTTTTTTTCATAAAAAAATTTAATGATGGAACCAAGGCTTTGTAGCTATGATAATTTTCAATTCTCTAAACTTTTCCGCATGCCAAAGAAAACATTTATTGATTTAGCAGAAACGATAGTAAAAAGCGATGAAAAAAAGATATTAGCAAAAACGTATAACAGGTGGATATCATCCAGTGAGTTTATATGGCCATATTTTAATATGCTTGTGGTATATGGCTACACAGGATACTTTGTTAAGCATAGGAACTAGATTTAAAGACTCTGACAACAGTAATGATTATAACTAATAAGGTGCTCTTCTTTATGCTAAATCTGAAGTCAGCCTGTATCAAGTTTCCCAAAAATGAAGCTGAAGTACAATAAAAATATCCAATAGCCGGCAAAATTCTAACTTGTCACATTTCAAATAATAACCAGAAACATAAAACTACTCCTGAGTTGGGTAAATAGCACAATTTTGCGGTGATAACTATGACATATAACAGCTGATTCATGACGTCACAGATCTTATAACCAAACTAATAACCACATTGGCTTGAACGAATCGGTAAATACCAATATTATCAATCCAAAATGGTAAATACCATTTTCATTTGGTTATTCGCTTGAATTTGATTAATATAAATTTGTTGTCATTATGTTTCTGACTCGTGATTTTATCATCGACGTACGTCCATTGATTACTTCAGTACTATATATGGTATGACGTAATAGTCATCTTCCGTGATTTTGACTATATAAACATGTGTCCCAAAAATTTCCAAAATACAGGGTGTTTGATTTGGTTTTTATTGATATCTCAAATATCCTTGTGCGGATTTTGACAGTGTTATTGATTGCAATAAGTTTCTAAGTGTCTAAGTTATCACTAACTGGAAGATAATTAGAAATTCCAGCGGCATCTCGCCAATAGTATTGTGCAGATAAAAATATACTACTTTTTTGTCTTTTGGTAAATAATAGTAATGGAAAAAGTACATTTAAAAACTAGTAAATGAGTTGACTGTACAAACAGAATGTTCAATTTTCGTAGATAAGCAAAGATGCCAGAGAAGTGAACATCACAGCCCAAGGATCAGGCCTAGCAGTATTTAGGGTGGCATACAAATACAACGTGAATGTTACTGGACCTTGGCCTTTGTTCACTTTGGATCCACAGGTGGACAAAAATTCGAATTGGCATCATTTGCAAATATCCATCTGTACAGCGTAAGTTCCTTAGTATACTATGATAGTTTGATTTGTTTCCAGAATTCTTGTACAGGGTATCCTTAAGGTTGGGACTTTGCATTTCCGACACATCTAAGCTTGGAAAAATAAATCTACTGCGCGGTAAAGAAATTGAAGAAAAGAACTCACTATCCATTTGAAAAGAAATTACATGTACTGCATAGTGATGTAACAAATATTCGCGGATATTCGCATATTTTCGCATATTCGCATTCGCCAAATCTCTGCGAATGTTTTGCGAATATAAGTATCAGAAAAAATACAATGATTAGATAATAGTAGGTTAATAAAAACAAAATCCATTCATTTAATATGTTTTTTAATACAAGAAAAAGTAACTTCACCTGGTAAGTCTTCACTTAATCATTTGGTATTATTTATTTATTTACTTTCTTGGACAATGAAGCTTAACAAATAAATTTTCATAGATCTTATAAGACAAACAAATATAATGCAATGTAAACAAACAAAAACAAATTCTACTATTAAAGTTTTATCAGTTTTCACTTAAGTTACATAATCAGCTTCTTGAACAAAAAAAAAACAATATTCAAAGGAACACATTATTCTTCTACAATAAACTATAAATATAATCATTTTTATAAGAGTCATAAGTAAACACTTTAAACATACAAAAATAAAATTATTTATTTTACTTTAATAAAGCTTAAAAATTAAATTCTCATTAGAACAAACATTAAATGCAATTGTAACAAACAAAAACCAATTCTTCTATGAAACTTTCAGCAGTCTTTAAGTTACTGTTTAGATAAGCATCATCATGAATAAAACTAAAAAATATAATGCATAATCAAACCGATTCTTATACAATAAACTATAAATATAGGCTAAACAAACAAGACAAAAAAAATCATAGACTCAAAGATACTTATCTCTTAAAAAATAACAATTAAGTTAGTAATTAAAAAGTTTTCAAAGAAATTATTTACGAACAGATCATCGAATTTATTGAGGGAAATAAAATTTTAACCAAATTTTAAGCTAGATTCAGGAAGAAACACTCAACTGAAATGGCAACACAAATGGTTTTAGAGGACTGGAGGAGACGTATGGACAATCGGAAACATACAGTTACAGTGTTTTTGGACTTCAAAAGGGCGTTTGAGACTATTGACAGGGATAAATACTTACAAAATTGCATCACTACGGATTTAAAGGATCTGTATTAAAAATTCTACAAAACTATTTAATTGACAGAAGTCAAAAAACCAAAATTGGATCTACATTATCAAGATCAAAACATATTTCTGTTGGTATACCACAAGGTAGTAAACTAGGTCCACTACTATTTATTTTATACATTAATGACATTTGTAATATTTTAGATTATTGTAAACTTCAGATATTTGCAGATGATATATTAATATACATATCAGATGAAAATCTATAAAATTAAAATAGTTAGGATAAATGGAGAAATAATTGAAAATGTTGAATCAATTAAATATTTAGGTATATATATATATATATATATTGATAGTAAACTAAAGTTTGAGGATCACTATGAATACATTATTCCAAAAATAGCCAAAAAAAAATTACTTCTCATAGACTTGGTACATATTCTAAGAAAATAGTTTATAATACAATTATTCTACCGCATTTACTATATTATTCAACTATCTTGTTCCCTGCCAATGAAGTTGTATTCTCATAATTACAAGTCTTGCAAAATAAAGCTATGAGAATAATATTGAATAAAAATAAGTACACCAAAATAAAATCTATGCTACAAGAATTGCAGTGGTTGAATATAAAAAATTTCATATCATATTTGGTTCTTATTTTTATATTTAAAATAAAAAAACATCTTTTGCCAGAACATTTAGAACTGTTATGTTATGTAATTGTTTAGTTTTTTAAAAGAATGTAATTGTAGCAATCATGCTAAGTAAATCTTAAACAAACAAACAGAGCTTCAATAGACGAATATTAAACTTTAAAAATGAAAGCTTGGACGCCTTGTCTCCTTCAAGTCTGTTTCGATGTGGTGTGCAAATCCAGCGCCACTAAACATGCGCTCGCTCGGGACACTGGTGGTGTAACTTTAGATTGCCGATCTATAGGAAACAGAGTACTGTATCTTTCCTTGTTCAATTTCCATCAAGTTAAAGGGTCGACGTCGTTTGCCACGCGTTTTTCTGATGAGCATTGTGATAGTTTTACGGATTAAAAGATGAACAGTGTTCCTCTTCACTGTCGCTCGCATCTATTAGTAAAGTGATTGTTTCTTGGCGCCAGAACAAAAACTGAATGTTCGCATTCGCATTCGCGAATGTAGGTAGCAGATATTTGCATTCGCATTCGCGAATGTTCAAAAAAGGACACTCGTTACATCACTAGCTACTGCACTGTCACATGCGGCTGGTAAATACTATTTACAGCTGTTGCTGTTCGCTTCAAAAACACATATTTGCTAGCTTACCTTCAGGACTGCTTTGGTCTTCTGCTAATAACCCCACCTCGATGGCATTTGCACAATGTAAACACATCTACGAGTACCTACTTGGATCGGGACAGACACATTTAGGATAACGATCAAAAAGTCAACTGGAAGACAGCGTATACTAAGATCAAAACGATAACTTCGTTATTGGTATAGGAAGGAAGGTGTCAATTTCTATCGTTAAAATCCGATTTTTAAATAAGCTAGGTTAACCTACACAACTCGCGGCGCCTGATTTGCCTGATGCAGGGGCTGGTTGGAGCATTATAATGATCATAATATCTCGGTTATCTTAAGGCTTTGTTGTGTGTGTTACTATAGGAAAACCTATACTCTGTAAAGTCCCAACCTTAACGACAGCCTGCATTTTTGTGTGTTTTATTACAGATTTGAAATACGATAAAGTATCGCGACCATAGTCAAATTTTAATAAAACGGCAGAATTATGAATAAAGAAACAAACTTGCTAACCGTGGGCTTTCAAAGGCAATCAAGTACAAAAACATAAAATGTAGTAATAATCTATATTACATTATTTTTATGCACGAAAATCCTTATTATGAACACTAATATTTTCTTATTTTCCAGATACGCAAACAAAAACTTGACAGATAGCCAGCAAAGCAACATGGCCGTTATGGAGGTGACACTTCCGTCAGGTTTCACAGCCGACATTGATTCTCTACCAAGCTTGGAGGTCTCGCAAAACGCCCAGAAAGTCGAGACCAGCCATGATCTGAGCAAAGTCATCATTTACTTTAACAATATCACCAGGGAAGAGTACTGTCCAACGGTTTCAGCCTATAGGACGTACAAAGTGGCTAAGCAGAGGCCTGTGCCTGTAGTCGTCTATGATTATTATGATACTTGTAAGATTAATTTTTGCATTCTTCTAAATATCTACCATGACCATTTATAACAAGTAGATCCTGAAAAATTTAAATCACGTTGAAATGGTAATATTGATCATAGATACTGATTATGGGGTTATTCCCTCTATAAGCAAAAAAATGCTACAGCTCATATCTCATTCCACTTTCAGCAAGAAGAGCTAGAATCTTTTACCGTGGTCCCACAGCAACTTTATGTGATATCTGTGAAGGTGAAGATTGTGGTGACATCTGTTACAAAGAATCACCGATCGGAAAACTGCAAAGAGAAGACTCCGACTCCGATGGTGGACATGCAGCTTCATTCCAGCTGTCACTTTTTGCACTGATGCTGTCATTTTTTGTCACTGCCGTGTAGAGAATGTACCATAGATGCCATACATACAAAACCATACCTACTTTCTTGGACAATTCGACATATTCTCGTAGATATCATGACTAGTATTTATTGAAATACGATCATTTTATTATTTCTTAAATATCACCCGAGGAAGAATGGTTTTTGATTAAAAACACATTTCGACTTACTGATATATTCTTATTAACTGTGATTTTAAGCTAGTAGTTTGTAAGATTTTTTTACCTGGTAGAAATATAAGATGTAATACTCGTAGCATTGATTAACGTACTCTTCTAGAAGATAATATCCGATCCAATGCAATCTATGAGAATTTGTCACAGCTGTTTTTCTATTTCTATATACCGGGTGTTTCAAATTCGACCCTCACCACTGGCATCTCGGAAACTGTAGAAGATACGAAGTCGCTTAAAGGGGGCAAAGCTTTTTCCTAACTTTATTTGTAGTGAGCATTTACATTGCCACTTTTCCACGTGTACAAGATGGCATAATCAGAATTTGTATATGACGTTTCGTTTGTTGCCCTCCAACATCAACTTTATTTTTTCTTGTGGATGCCATATTGGATTCTTGCACAGATGTATAGAGTTTTTAATTCTGATTCTAAAAATGTACAACGTGTCATAAATTGGCATTGGTAAACTTTGGTTATTAGGAAACATAATTTCCTAGGTAGGCTTTGAAATTGTCAGATAGTCATTTGTTTCGTGTACTAGATTTAACACAAAATATTTATTTTTTCCTGACTTCGTTTCAGATGCTATTTCGAAATAAATTGCATATTGTCATTGCCACATTTTCTCATCTTCAAGATGATCAACTTTGTTTTTTCATATGAACACCATATTGGTTATTTCTACATTTAAATACTACTAAGAATTAAATTTAAATATGTGAAGTTTATTGTGACATATTCAATTCAATTATTTATAACTAAATGCCGAATCAAAAATTGTGTTCAATTGTGTAAAATTTCAATAGGGAGTCCATAAGAAAAGAACAAAGATGAGGTTAGAGATCGAAAGCAGAAACATCTAATTCAGAATTTGATTACGCCCTCTTGTAGAGGAGCAAGAGCGGCAATGCTAATATGTGATTTATTTCAAAAAAATATATTATATATTTTTGGGATCAGAATTAATAATTGTTGGCTATCTTCAGACAGAATACATTAATCAATGGTAATAGCTATAGTAAGTAGTAAAAACTAAATGCCATAACATTAGTTACCATAGAGCAATCTTAATAATCACAATGTAATAATATGCACATTTCCGAATTCTAAATAACTCAAACTGTATTAACTTCCATATTTTTGGTAATAAAGAAGAAAGAAAGAGTTTATTGTGTTGTTTTTTACCTCTTCCGATCCACGCTGTCTTATATTCTGCCGAAAATATCGTACCCACCCATTAAATGAGTTTTCATTCGGATCACAGATATCATCCAAGGATTTTTTTAAAATTACCTCAATTATGTCATTGTACAAACTTTAAATAGATCCAAGCTTGTAACTTGGGTAAAATTTAGCTGCACTTATTAATCTGATGTCAAAGTTTTTGAAAACACAAAAAAACGTAAGAAATCGTAATTTATAACATATAAATAACCCGTCGAGCACAGCTAATAGATATACTTCATTGGCAGCATAAGCATATTTAGTAAGGATTTTCTCACACAGCAAATATCACTGATTCTATACACATGCAGACCAATACACAGAATGATCCAGATGCGATCTTGCTATTCAACCGACTTTCTTCTCACAGATGAAAACTACAGACTACTCGACTTTACAAAACGTATGCAACCAATAATGCGAGTAGTTGAGCCATTCCTCCATAGATGGACGCTCACAATGATCCTAGTGAACAAACTCTTTGCACCCTAAAAACTAGTCTGCAAGATGACATTTTATACCGAGAGGCGAGAGCCTCCACAACACGGTTCCAGGGGCTCCAAGAAAAGGAAATTTCTGTTTTAAGAGTCATTATGCTCCTCTGAAGAAAAGGGGACTTGGAAGATATTAGCGCCATCTATGAGACAGTGGCGGAACACAAAAATAAATTTATAAATCTACATTGGAAACAGTTTAAAGTGTTCGGTTTTGTCTCGTAGATGTCGCCCTTTTTAGCGACATTCTAATGTCTATATTTTAGTTATAGTCAAAATCACGAAAGATGACTATTTACGTCCTATCATAAATTTTACCGAAGTAATCAATGGACGTACGTCGATGATAAAATCACCATGTCACGAACATAATGACAACAAATTTATATTATAATTTAGCGAAGTTAGGTAATTTCACTGATTATTTTTCTTTTCATTTTATTTCATGGTTTTGAGTAATAATAATCTTAGTGCGGAGTTTTGAAAAAAAACAGTTATGATTAGAATACCTTAAGACAGAAACACCAAAGACCAAAGTATTATTCGTAAATAACCGAACCTGCTTTAACATAACCTAACTACTCATCTTTCAAATATGATCGATCATGCAATATGAAAACATCGTCTATCTTTCTCGGATAGATGCATATTAGCAATACAGTTTCTTTAGACAATAAAATTCTGTTTGTCTCTGTCTAGCATAACTGAAACTTCATTAAAAATATTCACAAATCTCTGTCGTTTGTCTCAACTACAGACTAAACTGATGTAATCGTCATCTCTCGTGATTTCGACTTTATAGATATCTTCAGGTGCAATGCGTTTATCAATACCTGAAAATATTTAACGAAAATAAGCACTTTTAACTCATAACTGCCTCATAGATTGCTCAGTTAGAATACGTTATTCAATGCTTGGTCAAGGGCTGCTTTTTATTCATATTAAGCGCTTTTTTATGATCTTGGCAACGTCGCCCTCAAGCAGCTCGAACGCGATGAACTCCACGGAGCGCGCAGTGCGTATGCGCGATTACCTTCCTAGTGACGTCATACGGGTCCCAGCTAGCTGCGACGTACGTTTCCCTCCTTTCGCGGCCGTTCCCCCTCTTGTAAATCCAGCGGGGCATGTCTTTGATAAACAAAGTGCATACGTTCAGTCTCCCAGCCATCTTGTGAAAATCCAAAAGTATGCTTTTTCGAGGTGTGCGTGAATTTTGACGAGATTTTCAGTGACTAGAAGTATTTTATGGGTGAGTTTCCCTTCCTACCAAGTTCAGTGATTTGCTGGTGAGTGGAAAGCGTTAACAGGCGAGTAGAAACGGCGATATCCAACGTTAGGAAAGTGTATCCCTTGTGTCATAGCTTTCACTTGAATCGGCAAATTAAAACGAGAAAAATGTGTACCTCGAAGCATATTTTGTGGTTTCCCAAGTGAACACGACATTCCTAAAGTATTACTGCGTCAAAATCGCCCAATACAAGGTGTCTTTCGTGCCCTAACGTCGATATTGTGAATAAACTTTTTGGCCTTATTAGGGAAATATCGTTTTCCGTATGTCAAAGACACCCTTCCCTGTATTTACTACCGTCAATACAAATCTGAAGTTTTGTTTATGTGTACCAATACGTTATCAGTCGAGATAAGAGATCGGAGGAGTGGGGATGATACAATGAAAATTTAAGTGTATTTGAGGACAGATAGTCTATGTTGTACATGTTAAGAATGAGTCATCGAGATGTGTCGATTCGACCAGTTTCTTTTCCAACAAAAACGTTAAAACGACCTTTTGACACCAAAATATTTACCTGGTTATCACATATTGCTTTATGGAGGTATATCAGAAAAGAAAGTTCCTTACTCCTGTGGTTATTGAATATTCAATATCTTACCTTGCCTACCAGTGTTTAAGCTTAAAAGTTTCAAAGTCGTGGTACCCGAAATAATTAATGTAAGATACCTATGATTCATAGTTTTTTGTGTACAGTTAGCAATATTTGTTGGTTGATAAATAACGGTTGTCTTGTGTTGGCAAACTAGCTAATTTGTAATAGCTATACAGATAACTATATTATGAATTGCGCTCTCTGTTAAGTGTCCAGGTGAATATCTTCTATCATGGTTCATGGATTACCTAAAGTGAAGTGATTTATGGTTAATACTATTATTGTTTAACATTTGATTATCATTAGCTGTGTTAGTGGTCTAGTGTATAGCAGATAATTTTATTATAAAAAGCGTTATTGCTTTATTGGCCAATCAAGTGGATTGATTTTTCCCTAAACTCTATCAATAGGTTATTATTTTTTGTTACTTTGTAAGTATTAAATAATATTGATTTCGTATGTGTGCTTGGCATGAAACTTTTAAAAGCTGAGCTTGAAAAGAAAATTTTGATACCAGATTATTAATTTAAATACCTAGTAAGAGAATATGTAGGTGGTAAGCCATTTGAAGATTATTTATTATTGCAAATCAATATACCTAAAACAGAAATGATTTTTTTGAGCATTTTGATTCATCGAGAAACAGCATTTGAATGTAGTTGATGATTTTATCCCATTCTTGTTTCTTTTTTCTGAGATCTTCAATACTTTACTTATCTCATAATGTAATAATTTGAAATATTCCTCCCTCCTTTGATATAGGCAGATACAACGCAATGTACAACTAACCTGTATCGTCAGTCGTTCCTATAATAAAATTGTGGGACGCCTTTATGGCCTCCTTGATTGTCATACTCCTGTCTCTCCTTCAAAAATTTCTAGATTGCACCTGTTCTGTGTCAGCGTCAGGGCTCTACTATTGTGAAGATATGTTTTCTTTTTAAATTGTAGGAAATTTCAGGCTGATAAAACATGATATAAATCAAAAGCATACACAATGTAATGCAAATAGATATTTGTGACAACCTCAAAATAGAGCGCTGACATGGAAAAGTAGAAAATTATGATAATCAAGGAGGCCATAAAGGCATCCTACAATTGTTGGAACGACTGATGATATGGGCCTAAATGTGAAATAGATCCCCCTCCATTTTTTCAAAATTCCGTCATTCGAACCCCCAGAGTGACAAGCATAGATTTATCTGGTATTTCAAGAATCATACCTTAGTACAGTTAATATTTTTTTTTCACTACTAATCTCAGAAATAAGCATTATTACCCACAGACGTAGCTTTTCTCCTCTATGGAAATAATATGACAAAAAAGATAACCCATAGAGTTTTATTTAAATATTATTTCACCGACATTATATTTTGTCACCTTAGACAACTAATGGAGCCTCTAATTAATAGTTTTATTGCAATATTTGGACATAACTATACCAAGTATAGCCCAGCTATTGTGAACACATTGCAACAAGGGCTGGTCATATTTCTCAGCCCTTTCACCTATATCTTTGGCAGTATTGTGTGCAATATGTAGGTGCATACGCTATTCAGAATTTCACATTGGAAGGGCCAGATTATCCAACAAGACTACAGCAAGGATACTGATATGACATATCACTATCCTTGTAGTTCAATAGTCTGACAGCAATACATGGAAATATGTCTGAAATCTCAAACATGTGTAGCATTATGGCTAGTTAATGCAGTAAGAATATTGACCATTTAGAGGTTCCATAAATAGTATGGTCTGAAATATTTGAGAATGAGAATTGCAGCACCGTGTGCTAACAATACTTCCCTAATTACCCGAAACCTATCATTATAACGAAATAGGTGTGAGAAAGCAAAACATCTGACAATAATGACATACTTCATCGCCCAGGTATTTAATGTACTTTTACTTTTAATATTAATAGACATGAAAATACGTTGATTGAACTAGCCAAAATAGACAATTTGAGTTTAAGCATGTTGATATAAAATCACAGCTAAGAAAATTTGAATGAAAGTTTATATCTAGTTGAGACAACAATACTCATTAGTATTAAATTAGTTCACCTATGTTCAGTTATCTTAGTTTCAGAGTTATAGTATCTCATCTAATTAATGTATGAATCATTCTTTTTCCTGCACTACAAAAGATTGTAAAATCAGTCTGTAATTCATCACCATCAGTGAAATATCGGTTGCTGATTTAATTGCTATAATTCAAACCTGAAATTGCATGCCATGGTTCCTTTTTCCTACTATGTATTGTGAATAACTGTGGTTTGGTTTCTTTCCTTCAGCCTTATATGTAACTGACTTACATGGAATGAGAAATAGGGTTATTAATTTTTATTGTTGTTATACAAGTGTGGATAGATGACAAATTATTTTCAAAGATGTCTATACAAGGAATTTTGATACTGAAATTCTTGAATAATTTGGAATGCTGAATTTAGAAATGATCATAAGAAAATTGTCAGGTTGATAACTGTCAAAATGCTTTGAATGCAGATCAAATGACCATTACCTTGCATATTTGGGGTCATTCTCATTTTGAATGTATCAAGC